TCCAAACTCGTCTAAAAAAAATCGTCACGACTTTTCCAAACGGTATTTCTTACGATCGCTCGAATTTTTTTTCCAAATTTTTCAAAAATCAAAATGTTGGAGCTTGAAGAACAAAAGAACGAAGGAAAAGCAACGGTAGAGAAAAGAAAGTTCGTAATCGAATCGTAAAGATACACCGCAATTATCGGCGAGACTCGTCGCGTCAGCGGATCTCTCCCTTCGAAAAAGCATCGTTTAACCGCGAGATTTGATTAGATGGCTGCTTAATTTGCACGCTGGCGCCCGTTGCGACCAACTTTCGTCGAAAAGGGACAAAAAGCCGGTGGTAATACGCCCCCCACTCCGTATCGTTTCCTTCCATCCTCGAGAGCAGAAGATCGGTCGCGCAACGTCGAATAAATTTGATCGAACGAGTTAAACGGCGGAGGCGTTGATAAAACACGAGCGATTGGACGGCTCGATCGCGAAAAAGAAAGCACCGTGATGTCGCGTTAAACGGACGCATAGGATAGCCACGAGCGATCTTGCATCCTCCGTTGCATCCTTCCATCCCTCCATCGTTTCATCGTTTTAATTAAAATTAACTAATTGCCTCGCTCGGGGGACGAGGGAAAAACGGGGAGAAAAGTGAACGTGGCGGTACGTAGGAACAGACAATGAAATTGGTATTGGTTATAATTGCGTCATTCCGATATTGTTTGCCCGATGGTTCGAATAACGATCATCCATTTCCACCGTACATTGTACATTGTCCAAATATTTGTCGAGCCCAGTGAAATCACATATATATAGCGATAACTTATAAAAACAACGTTTCTACGTTTTGCGCTGCACATAGTTAAATATTCGGCCGTGTACGGAGGCGAGCAACTTTTTTTTTTTTTATTTGTTCTTCGTTAGTCGATATATAGTTGCCGTTTTTTCCACCGTGATACCACCTACGCCCGTTCGTTAAGATATCGCGCCGTGCAAATACTCGCCGGATTTCGGAATCGCGTTGAATGGAAAATGGCGGCGGTCGCCCCCGTTCGAATTATCTAATGTATTCAACCCGCGTTAGGCAGGAAATTAAAGTTCACGAGTGACGGGTCGTGCGAACGACTTCCGTGAAATCAACGATCCTCGTTGTTCCACCGCGGCGTTCCATCAATTAGCTCCGTCGCTGGGGCGATAACGCGTCCCCGCAAATGATCCTAATCCCTGAAAATGTATTTCGCAGGACAAGCTATATCCATTTACGCCCTTCCTTCTCCCTTTTCTTTTCCACTTTTCTCTTCGTTTTTTTTTCTTTTGTTGTTTTGTTTCGTTCTTTTTTTAAGAAAGAAGGAGACGCATAGAGATTCGATTTTAAACGGAGGAACGAAGGAAGTAATAGACGAGAATGCCTAGACGTTTAAATTCGTTAAGAGGGGTGAAAAAGAGAGTAAGAAAGCAGCGTTGCATCCTCGGTGGATGGATTAAAGGAAGCGAGAATTTATCCACCGCGTCGCGGGAGATACACCGAGCTATCGACTTTCAAAGGCAGCCGACTTTATAATTCCTCGTACATCCAAGAGTTAATCCTTTAATCCAATAACGATGAAAGCGAGGTTCGGTGTTCGAACGCACTTGAATTGAAATCGGAAAAGGCGTCTCGAGATCGTTCCGAGCCGAGTGCGATAAGGAGAGCTTCTCAAAGGAATCGTGGGGAGGGGGAGGGGGAAGGGGGAAATAGAGCGGTTGCTCCATTTCAGCGGCCGCTCAAAGAAGAATATAAATGCTAAGTGTCCACTCTCTTTCTTCCTTCTTCTTCGCGCACGATATTTTTTTCGAAATAACGTTCCTCCTCCTCGACTCGATGGACGAGACAACTTTTCGATTCGTAACGCGTTTCAGATAGATAATTCTCCTTAAAAGACAATTATTTCTCTACACCAGCGACACGACGATTCGTGCATTCTCCATTAACGAAATTAGGCGGCCAAGTAGTAGTCGATCCGTTCTGGAATTGCCCTTCCGCAACGTCGTAGTTAACTTCTCCCCCTCTAATCGTCTTTGATGGCGGTAAATTGGGGATGTCGGGAACGGAGAAGCGAAGAAAATTTCGGGATGATCGGCGATACTATTTTCTTAATCGTTCGTGGAGATGTTAAGATTGCGATAACGGGACGGTACAATTCAATCTTTTCTCTCGAATCGGTACTAATTTTGATTTTAACGAAGCGAAATCTTTCGAAGGGGATATCGTAAATTTTTCATCGCATTAACTTTCGGCTCAGCATGGAAAATGGGTATCGACTGCACCGAATCACGCAAAGTGATATAATACCATTGATATTTTAATAAGCGACGATGAAATTCCGAATGATGGAAATCTACTGCGGAATTCGTGGAGAACGATGAACCGGGGGAAATTGGAACGAACATTTTCATATACCGATTCGGACGAATTAAATTTCGTACGTGAAGTAAACGTGATCGAGTTAACGTTGGAAACGAACGTTGGAGAGAAGAAAATTTGGAAATATCGAGTTTCAAGAAATTTTCACGATTTCCTTTACTACTCGCGAAAACTTCGCGATGTTACCCTCCCACAAAATATCCATAAAAACTTTCGTTTAATTATAGAACGCGTTCTCGAATTTCTAAACAAACTCGGTTAAACGACAAAATCCGACATCCGATCCGAATTATTTCAAACGGAGTGTAAACAAATCGACGGAAAAAAAGGGGGGGGAAAGATTCGATATCTGTTTCCGCAAATGTTTCGTTGACCTCGATTCGTAATGCAAATAACAAGATAAATTAGAGAGCGGGCCGGCTCTCGTTTCGGTTCGAAAGGTTCGAATCGACTCTCTTTCTCGGTATTGCTCGATCGAATTTATCCTCCGCCCGAACTTCCTCCCTCGCTTCGGCTTATTCGGTTCGATTCTCTCGAGGCGAAGTCGTGACCCTGTTCTCGCTATTCAAAAGTTAGATCCGGAAGTTAACTTCACACTCGAGGTTCGACCCTCTGCCGGACAGACTAATTTCAACGATGCACTCGCGTAATACGCGTACGTGTCTCGCGTGATTTCCAAGTTTAGGCTGCTTTTACACACCATCTCGGAAATGAGCGAAATTCGTCTTGAATTTTCTCGACGTGAACACTACTAGTAATAGTAGTAGTAGTAGTAGTAGTAATAGTAATACGTTTTACAGAGCGACTACACGTCCATTGTTATCGTTTTACGTATTAAATCGGTAGCGATGCTACAGTTTAGAATCTCATCTCTGCTTGAACCGGTCGATTTCGACACCGGTTGGACGGACGGCGCACAAATGCCATCGATCAAACGTCCTCTGGCGATCCTATCGCCTCTGGCAGAAGGGAAATGGATTTCATTGGCAGGAGATCGCCGATGTTCCTGTCTCTATTCACGGTCTATCTACGGCCGGCTATTATGATAATTAACTTGCAGTTTTGGACACCACCTGAGAGGTAATCGACGCGAGACGGGGCCAACGAGACTAAAGCCTCGTTTAATTGGAAGACAGTAATACGATTTTATACGTTTCTGCTCTAACGTGGTTTAACGAAGTACGTTTAATCTATTACAATCTACGCTTGTAATCTATTGGATCGGCAATTACCACAAATCGATACACGCGAACACGATTTCTGATCAATCCTCATAGATGATCTCGTCAAAACATACACGGGGTTGAAAACGAGAAATGGAGGTAGAGGAAAACAAGGTCTATCGAGAGTAACTCGTGGCCGACCAGTAGCAGGATTTCATTAGCCATCGGCTATTAAACTTCCGTAACGAAGCGGACAGCCTGTCCTTCCTGCAGGGCGCAATAAGTTCGCGCGAATCGAGTAATAAATCCGGCAACGATTCGATCCTTTGGTTGAATTTTTAAAAGAGCACGGTGATAAATCACGTAAATGGAAGGAATCTTGCGTTTCGAGGTAATGGATCAAGAAAAAAAAATCGCTTTATCGACGACATTTTTCGCTACGTTTTCGCTACGGTGTAAATCAACATGCTCGCTCATAATTATGTAAAATAATTATCCTTTTAACACACCGGCACGATCGTTCGAACCACGATAGCCACACATCGCGTAAACATTTGGAGAACACGATTCGTTTTTGCCGGCAAATTAAATAACCTACGAAATCTCTCGATACGTGCACTGGCACGCGGAAAGCCAGCGAGTCTAGAGAGGTGTTCGACACGATCGATCATTCTCGTTGTTTGCGGTAATCGTATCGGTTGTTCAAACAACGCGTTTCCAACGAGTCGTAAAAATGGCAGCTGCCAATCTACCTTCGACTCCCTTCGTCCCTGTTCCTATCAAGTTGGCGAGATTCGTTCGAACGCGGGTCACGGACTCCCGAGTTCGTTAGCTTTTTGTCCGTCCTTTTATCCGTCCGAGCTCGAATTCGTTTACCTGCCGTGGCGAGTCTTGCAAAAACTTTCTCCTTTCTTTCTCCTCGTATTTAACTCCCGACGATTCGATAACATAGAGGAGATTGCCGGCGAGGGGAACCGAACTCGTAATAATACGAGCGATAGGTTCGATGGGAATTTTCTCGTGGAATTCGTAAAAGAAAAATCGATCGATCGATGAAAAGTGATAAAATTTTGATGAAGAAGGGGGGGGGGGCATCCCTACGGAATTGAATCGGAACTGAAGAATCACCCAAGCGATTCTGCTAATTCGGAGGGAATTTGGCCTGGTCAGCGGATCGAGACGAAGATCGTCTACCAACAACGAGATCCTTTGTTGGTCGATCGTTCTCACTCGTTTGCTACTTCTATCTTTTCACCGAGATCTATCCGCCCCTACTCCCACCCCCTATTATCTAACTGAAACACGAGTTTAACCGACGGTTTTTCTCGTCCGTTCTTCTCGTCTTCTTCCGAATCGGAATAATCCCGTTTTCGTTCCCGAGAGTATCAAGGTGTATCGAATCAACCGTTAAAGGATCGCGCGTTAAAAAAAAGTGTGATGAAGAGTGGATCACTCACCGTTCAGCAGGATGACGAGGATCCAAAGAAAGAGAAGGGCCGGAGCCACGTGGCGTGATGAATCGGCGAACAGGCAGGGGCTCATCCTGATCCACGGTCGATTCTGTTCCTCGCGTGCCGCGGTCATCGGGCCTCGAAGAAGGGGGTAGGTGCTCGCGGATGGAAACTCTACCACCGTCCACTCCACCGGCCCTCCACGCAAGGATCGACTTTCTCTCTCTCTCTCTCTCTCTCTTCCTTTCGATGTTCAACCCTTATCCGTCCAACACACCAGATCTGCGCCTGTTCCTCGCACGAAATCCTGTCTCTCAAGGCACTCGCCGCGCCGGGCGCCAGTGAGAGACTGTTCGACTTTCGTGGCGCGCGACAGGTTCCCGCGGTGATTCGTGGTTCGTGCGCGGCCGGCTGTCCTCGACCACCTTCGGCTTCGCTCGAGCCACACACACACTCAGCCATCCTGCCGCACCACTACTCGCCCGCTACAGGCCTAAGTACTCGCTGCACGCGAGTATCCGTGTGCCGTGGGGGGTTACGAGAAGTTTCCAACCGCAGCTCAGGCTGCGCACCAGCGAACCACCACCACCACCTCTCCTCTTTCCTTCTGCACCGTGTGATCCTGGCCTGCGAACTCCTCCCTCGTTGCATCCTTATTCAGCGAACACCAGCCTCCGTCCATCCAGCCTCGACCACCGCCGTTCCGTGCTTACGTGTAGTCTTCGTATGCTATCGCCCTGGTCGTTACCCGTTCATCCGTCGAACAGCGCGGGGACCGGTGCTTGTTGTAACCTTGTAACGCGTCCACCATCGTGTCACGGACGAAAATTAAATAGTGCGCGCCGTTTACGTCGCCATTCTAAACAAAAATTCCGCTCTATTGTTCTTTCGTACAGAGTTTCGACGCTCGACGCTATTGGAGAGTATATATATATTCTTATGAAAAAAACAGGTTTTACGGATATTTAGAAAATAGGTATACGATGAAACGAGGTGGAAAATAAGGAAGCTACGGATAATCGGAGAGAGAGAGAGAGAGAGGAGGGGAGGGATA